TCTGCAGATGAAGAACGGAGGTTCTGCTGAAACGCTTAACAGACTATACGGCGTCACATCCCAGAAAACAGCGCTTTTCGCAGTCACTACTACCATGAGAAGATGAAATATAATACAGTTAAGACAACCTATACAGTAAGTAGAACACTGTTCTGATCCTTAGAGAATTTCTTGCCGATCTGAGCACCAAGGCAGTAGACAGACGGAAACAAATTAAAAAACCATCGAAGTAAAGTAAAGCTATCCCTGTAACAGACCGTGGATGTCGATAAGGTTGTGAGACGTCGAGGCTACCACATTTTCTAGACAGTCGGCTCACAGATGGCGGTAATGTTGTCAGCCTTACGCGCCGGCCGCCCTTTACCCCCAAGAACATTCCAAGAAGATTCCTGGTACTCATTTCTGTTGGAGGCTGAGTCGACCCCAGGGCCATAGTGCGGCTGGAAGAATTAGGTTAACTGAAAAAAAATCCAATGACCTCATCGGGATTCGATCCGGCGACCATCCGGCTTGTAGCATAGTGCCTCAACCAACTAAGCTACCGACAAAATTGGTAACAGAACGGTTTTAGGTTCAATCATCACAATCTCCACGTCGACACACACCAGCACCTAACCGCCTGAGCTATTATGCATAGCGCAGCAACATTAAACAAATTGAATTCCCTGCCAATATGTTTCAGCAGTGTTTTCGACAGCTATATCAACGTTGGCAGACTTGCATAGCGGCCAACGGCAACTGTTTTGAGGGCCCATGTGCCTCTGCGTACGTGTATGTGAATACCTTGTAATATGATGCGATAAAACCACATTCCACGAACTTCATGACTCTACCAAGAGTCATGAAGTCATGTGTGTGTGTGTATATATGATTTCAACACGTTGTATGGGTTGAAAAAAAAACAATGGTTTAAAGGTCCATGTCTCATTACTTACACAAAACGTTATCTGGTCTGACACTTAACATCACCTTGCATCTATGAGGGCTATCCCCCCCCTCTGGTGTACACACCAACTTCACCCAACAGAGGAGTCAGTCTCCTTATCAACTGCAAGATAAGATACGCCGCATGTGGCCAGAGCAATCAGCCCTTTCCCCGTTACTGCCTCATTCTGGCAGCGGCTCAGGTCATGATTCAAAACAATGTGTAAGGACATCGCAGTCAGTGGGGTGCCTGATGAACTGCAAAGGGTTTCAAGGGAAGTGGCCACCAGAACCTAGCACTTCCTCAATACCAGCCCACACGGTGTCATGATGACAGTCCGGATGAAGTGTGAGCACTAGGAACAACAATCAATCACGTGTTCTGGGAACTGATGACACAGAGCCAAAGTGCAGTGGGCATCATCGCGCTGTGTGATTCACGGCGGCCACATAAAGCTCCTTCCTGACACGTCACGGCTCCTGCTTTCCTAGTATCATGACTCCCACTGGGCTGACGTTTCGGCAAGCCCAGACATTACACAGGCTTCAGCGTCTCGAACTGGATGCTGGTGTCTCAGCTGAGATTCAAACCAAGCATCTCCTGAATACAAATCTACAGCTTTACCACTAAATGACCTGCTCGGTACAACATACCTATCTCCACTGGCTGTTCTGACCCTCAAGACACCGAGCCCCATCCAACCGAATGAGTCCACTTGTTAGACTCAGAACACGTGAAACACACTCACAAAAAACTACTACCTTCTGGGATATGACGCCCTGAAGTCTTGTAAAACTTTACCTCTTTCAAGTTAATATACTGCCCCCCCAAGCTGCTTGCTTTGGACTTCAGCCCTGAAGATGGACGCAGTATATTACTCCGAAACGTCAGCTAACTTCCACGCCACTATCCAGCTTGTCACAACCCACGAGACAGTAAGTACCCTTCAGTCACTGCCATTAAAACCATAAATCCAACAGACATTACCAGTTCCTGAATCTGTAAACAAGGAGCCCTGCTCCAAAGACGTTATTAAAGTATCTCAGTCCTTGGCAGTATGACCTGAAGAGGCCAGTACTGATCTGTGAGCCACATTCGGAGAAACACACACAGAGCACTTACTGGCTTTCATGCGCATTAATGGTGCTGACACTGGCAACTGGACAGCTCAATCTCGGACTACTACTGTACTGTCCCCGTAACATATTTCCTTACACTACAATTTAATATTCCCTTCTAACTTAAATAATTCCCTTCAATCACACCACAAACATTTTACATTATGTTTCTGTTTTGCGCTTGGAAGCCACACACACACACACACACACACACACACACATGGTCTGCCCACTGACAGTGACACACGTACTCCAGCAACAAACAACATTCAAATCATTTCCTATCCAGTACAACACTGCCACCAGATGGTTACCACCTGGCTTTCCTCAAGTTAAAAATATCCAAGGCCATTGGCAAGAAAAGACTAGGAAAAGCTGAAAGTCTTAAGAAACAGTTGCCAAATTGGTCAACAAACTCTTCTGCTTTCCTGCTAGCATCAGACAGGGCATTTCATCAGGCATGGGGCTATCACTGCAGACATGAAGTGACCCACGGGGGCAAGGTCCACATGACATCAATGCCCATTACAAATTCTTGTGCAAGGAAATCTTCTCAAAATCACACTTTAGTCAGTCAAGACAGATTTTGTCTCTATCCAACAATTTAACGATGATGTTCCTATCCCCTCCACCCAGTAGTACATATGGATATAGTGTATGACAGAGAACACCCACTGATAATATGAATTTCACTCCAAACTCTTGCATATACAGGGTTTCTTAATGTAATTCTCATACAGGATAATTTTCTTTAATCACAACAATAAACTTGACCTCACCATTGTACGTCACACTGAAAGCTAAATTGGGCCACGTAATGTAACAAATACCAGACTGAACTACTTAATATGCACATGGCACTAGAGAATCACAATGCATCTCTTTATCAGTGTTATTCTTTTAGCAATCATGGCCTACTTTAACCTAAGAAACCTGCATTTCTTCTAAATATTCACTCTATTCCTGACAGGAAACATTACGCCTCCGCTACAGAGCCCAACCGGTTACTGCTGTTTAGGGAAACAGTCGCTGTTTGCTGTGAGAACCACACGGAACACACAGATACACTGTGGGCAGAATGCAGGGTTTCAGTGTGTTCAGTCCGTACCTCACAGGAAACATCACGTCTCCACTACAAAGCCCAACCGGTTGCTGCTGTTTGCTGAAACTGTCGCTGTTTATTGTGAGAAAAACACGGAACACACAGATGCACTGTGGGGGCAGAATTCATTTTTTTAATGTTAAAGAATATGGTATATACAGTTACCACTGTGCTTTATAAATGATTAAAATTGAAAAAATCCCCTTCATTCAAAACACCTCAAATAGCCACATTTGTGCAAACTTATGAGCTGTAGAGGTGGGGAGGTTATGGGTGGCTTGCTCAATTTACATGATGAGGTAAGTATGTCGGTATGTTAATATTCCTGCATCTAGTTTTAATTAGTCATGAATCTGGCAATGCTGAATCAGAATTTTGTGCTGTTGTCAGCATGACATTTCACATTGTCCAAAATATCTTTGGGGTGCCGTGCAGATAATCATGTCACCAACAGTAACCTACCAGAGGTCCATTGCACAGGGACTTCTGCAGGTCTTCGAGCACCGTCTCCTTTACGTACCTCACCAGTGTCAGACAGTCCAGTTCAGATGAAGGTATAAGAGGGGAAACTTTCTGACAGTGACACACAGTTCCAAAAAAACATCTGAGCAGAAGCACCAACAGCATGGTGCACAAGAGGAGCATTCGGAGATTCTTCATGACATTGCTGAAGTTGAGAAGTTTGTGGAGAACTGGCAAAACAGAAATCATATGCAGCAGCTTAATCAGATGTGTGAAGAATATGAAAGACTTCAACAGACTATGAAGGAAAGTATGAAACGGCCCACAGCTTCTGACTAAATTCGCAACTTACTCAGATGAAAGCCTAAAGAAACGAAGGAATCTTCAAATGATTCATCAGGAAGCTACCAAGGAGATGGAACAAAGACCAACAAACAATGCTGATGTATATGTTGCACTTCCACAGAGCTGCCTACACTCACAGATGCTTTGGACAGAGAATACAGCATTTGCACGTTCATTAAGATGTGACTACTTGCAACTTGCAACATTTCACTCATCCAGCTCTGCCATTTTGTTCTATTCTTCTGCTTTTAAAGTAGGTTAATGAAACTTGCATCTTGGGGGTAAAGGGCAGCCAGCGCATAGGGCTGACAGCCTTACCGCCATCTATGAGCCGACTGTCTAGAAAATGTGGGAACTTCAACATCTCACAATCCTATGGGCCTCCATGGCCTGTTACAGGAGGATACCTTTACTTTTTTTTATATTTCAAAGACTAATTACAACACAAAATTTCAAACACCAGTGTTCAATTCTGCTACAAAAATTTTGTCATTTGAAACCGCTGTATTACAAGTTCATACTCTGATTTGTATCTTAATGACTGACTTCACGAAATACACAGACTGGTTGCTTATTGCATGTGAACATCATGAACGGCAGTGGGGACGTATATTTCATAGTACTATCGCAACAACCGACACATTGGGGAAAGGCTAGGCACGGCCCCAAAAAATCATGTACCAACCCATAATTAAGTTCAGGCACAATGTTACTTCAATGGCTGATAGAGATTTCACGATAAAAGTGCAGAATATATTTTTAAACTTAATCATGGGACACAAAAGATAAGCTTTTCTTAAAAAACTGAGTTAGCCTCTGAATGAACCTACCCAACTACACTGTTGCAAATTTCTAACATACACAAAGCTAATCATAGACTCTTCCTATATTTTCCAGCATGAGCCATGTTCACAATTATATTCCACATAGAAATTAAGTAACAGTTAACGAAAATGAAAACACATCAAACTAAGCTTTCACTTCCATATACAGCTCAGTGCTGAATGGGGAGAAGTCCCAATAATGTGACACTGTAACAGGTATTTACCTTATGGTCTCCACTATCTCAAGGGCACCGTCATGTTTATCCTGTAACAAAACAACCCAATTACTTTCCACGTTTAATCTCTCGATAAATGTGATGTTAAATTGGTTACATTGTTTCATAACACAAGTGTTTTCTATTCATATTCAGCACAACTACATATTGTATCATAACCATCAAGATGTATTTAGGTCAACACCATTTTAAAAAATGCACAGAAGAATTTGCCTCTTCATTCCCTAATCCGTTATGCGAAGCTACGGCAGACTTGCGTGTATTGGCTCTGGATGTGTTTATCAGTGCATGACCTACTTTCGGGTGCTAACATGGTTCTATCAGCTTGAAGCCACTGAGGTACGACGTAATATAAAACAATGTATATTCGGCAGCCAAACTCATGCCACCGGGTCAGAGTGGACCGACCCATTCGTCTCGAGCCCTACATCCCGAAGTTCGTAGCTTGCTGCTGTGCGCCACAGGCTGAACCAAAGATAATGCTTCACATCGATTTATTAACACCTTTATATCGGATACTGCTGCAATTATTATTAAAGTTATAAATTATAACATGTAGATTTCAAACAGAAGTGTTTCTACAATGATTTGTTCTTATTCTCATTCCACTACTCTCATTAGCGTTTGTTGGGCTTCCTACGGTCAGCGCAATCAACTAACAACTTACCGAGCCAGTTCCGACGGTAAGGGGCCATTGATAAACAACCGCCTCTGCTCCTGCGGGGCTGTGTAGTCGCAATTCAAACGCCATTTCCACAAATACACAAACCCTTTTCACACTTAACACACACTTCACCAATAACTTCACTTATAAACTTAATCACTGATACATTTTCTCAACACGACCGCACTGACTCCCCTCCTGGCTACACGCCATGATGGGGCCGTCGTAACATGGCTGACTCCTCAGCTAGCGCAAGCGCACATCGAAGAAATACCTGATTGGCTGATGTGGCAACCGAGTTTATTATTGGATGCTGACGAAAATAAACACATGATTGGAGAACATAAATCCGGCAATTTTTAAATGCATTTTTATTGCCTTGAATTATCACGTGGAACAGCATGACGTGTTCTCCTCTACGATGTAACTTTACTACGAATGCTTTTTGTTCTATGCTCAGATCTGAAACACCGAAAGTGTGTACTGCTGTTACACGTCTCGCATAGCATCAAGGTATGAATCCATGAACCTCAATGGCAATTAATTAGTATAAAAAGTTATATAAAATCGCCACAAGAACCTGCTTAAGAAAGTAGAATTGACTTCTAAACAAATTAAGGTGTTATTTTAGGCCAGAGTTGGGTGTGTATGCGGTTCCTCATATTCTAACCTAGACATATATTGATGAATGTGGCTCCCTCCCTTCAAATCTCAAAAAGAACACACTTATATTTTCCCAGTTCTCCGCCTATTTAGGTTAAAATACGTCGAATAAAATATTTGCTTAAAGTCAACTCAGATAATTTTTAAAGTTAGAGTTCCCACGCATTAAGAGTGACTGGCTTCTAAAGTTCTGTTCGGAATTTCATTCCACTTTGTCAGTGTGAGTTCATGGAAGCTCAAACGATCATAAATTAAACACGAGTGCAGTTATAACCCGCAAAGTTAACGATTAAAACATAAAGATATCCCCTCCTTGATGCCCTTATTCTTGAAAATACAAAGATAAACGCAACACAAAACGGGGAGTCTTCGAACGAACTGGTTTGAAAGAGAATAATTTCCCCACGGAAGAGATTCATGACGTCCATGACGGAAATACCCCACGTGGTGGAGCATGACACCCGTACTTCGTGTAACACTGTGGTCAAACCAAGGCCACATTCAGGAGGTAGGCGGATCGAATCCCAAGGCCGGCAGTTATGACAAGAATGCATGGTGCTCCTCAATCACTTCCACGTCCGCAGAATCCCAAATGATACGGGGAATAACCACCAGCAGCGCTGTGTTTACATTGCGTACTGCAGACAGACATTTCGTCAGCTCAGTACTGTCAGAGTGCACTTTACAATGGAAACGCGTCACGGCCAAATGGTTCGCGCTCCAATTTCATATTCAGGGGGTACGGGATTCATATCTTGGCCGTACTGAAGTTTGTTCCGCTATCACTCGAACCATGCAGCCATATCAAGTTAGGCTACGACCGCTTCCCTCCACATACTTTACAATTCATTACCCCATCATCCGCGTTGCCATTCAGCACTATAAAGTCCCTGTTTATCTGTCTCCGAGGTGAGGCCATTCTGGGTGTGAAACAGTGCTGATTGGTACCAGCGGTCCAGAGATATATGATGCCTCATATTCTGCATCAACCTATCAGACTATACCTCATCATAAACCAGAATAGTACAAAATAAATTCTCGCCGCTGTGAAAACCTCAGCTCCCCCCCCCTCGTTTATACAGTCTACTAAAATGCATCTGAATTAGGCTTCGGGCTTCGTGAGAAGGTATCATCTAAGTTGATGTTAGTAGTCACAGTTTTCATGAATTAAAAAAGCATCAAGTTCGATCACGCTCCTGCTGACGTCATTAGAGACTCTGCTAAGAGAGGGCGAAGAATTCTAGAAAATTTGCTAGCAAAGAACGCCCATAATGATTGACGTGGATCTCACTGGGATCTCCAAATGTTGTTCGAAACGTTTTCCATGTCATGTGTACGTATCAGCCAGCCCGAATGCAACGCACCCTAGTTAATCGACATCGAACCAAACGAAAAGTGCAAAATTGTTAAGGTCACGTTTCGAAAATCTCCATATTCTGAATTTGAAGTAAGACTTTTCTTTCCATTTTGAGAAATTCAGAGTTGGATTGGTTCAGCATAGAGCAAAATTATATTTGCACCCCCCCCCCAAATGTTAGTGTAGTCTAGATCGCAATAACTAATTAACGCCACGGAGCAGGGTCCTATTTGAGAAGCTAACAATCGCTCAGCTACGCAAGAACTTCCACGTTCAAAAGCACCTGTGTCTAGATCTGTATAGGAAACCATAGCGATATCCTTCGAGGAGTATCGTACACAAAACATGCATACGCTTTCCCCATTTTGTGTTCATTTTAAACACTTTTCGCAGTGAGACATGCATCTTTACAACGGGAGAACAAAAGAGCCCAGGTGTAAAGAAACAATGGAAAGCAGACATCCGCGTGGTAGCGTTTTATCCTGATACCCCTACCGCCTCCTGCCGGAGACAGGTGCGCAGGCGCAACTGCTGGTTCCTGCTCTCGGGCTGTAACAAATGGTGGTTACTTCGCTGCTTTCCTCAGGCGCTATCGGCAATTCGGCACCCCTCACGGAATTAACATGACTCTCTAGTCAGTTAGTGCCAGCAGGATAGCAGGGGTTCGATTCCCGCACGACCTCAACTCTTCTCCTCATTCCTTTGTCCGCATTGCGATTCGAGAACCCGCGCAGTTCCCTATCCAATTGTTACCGGGGGTAAATCTGCCGGAGAGTGAAACTGGTCATTTGCCTCAATCTAGTGCCTAGGTTAGAAACAAGTGGAGCTTCATCTCCACTCATTGATACGCCTTCGCAGCATTGATATGCAATCACAGATACTTTCGTATTTTCCACACGTGCTGCACGCATTGCCCATCTCACCGTTCATTATTCAGTCACCCTAATAATGTCTGATGAAGAACCCAAGTTATAAAGTTCCTTACTTACTCACTCACTCATGGAGCCGAGCCCTTCTTGAGAAGCTAATTCTGCAGCTACTCAAGAATTTCCCAGCGTGTTATGGAACCCGAAGGTTCATTACCGTGTTCACAAGAGCCCTCCACTGGTCCCTATCCTGAGCCAGATCAATCCAATCCGTACCATCCCATCCTATCTCTCTAAGATCCATTTTAATATTGTCCACCCACCTACGCCTTGGTTTTCCCAGTGGTCTCTTTCCTTCTGGCTTTCCCACCAATATCCTATACGGATTCTTATATAAAGTTCCTCACTATCAAAATTTCCCCTTCCTTCACTTCTTCCCCCTTTCGTCCAAATACTCTCTTCAGCACTCTGTTCCCAGTCTACGTCCCCCCCCTGTGAGAAACGAAGTTTCACGATCATATAAAACAACGGACAAAACTATATAGCAGGCAGGAGATGTGAATCGCAGCCCGTAAGTAGCCTGGAATGCTGACTTGCGGTGTCAGGCTAAAATATTTCTGCGAAGCATCTACTGGCCATCTTTGTGTTATGACATTGCTTGCGTTCTGGTGGCGAAACAAGAACATATAAATAGGGGAGGTGCTGGGACAGTATATTAAAATAGGCCACTGCAGTTTGCGTCCGTATCTGACCTGGCGTTTCTAGAACACCATAAGAGGCCACAAGAATCTCGGGACATGTTTTATACAGTGCTGAACTCCTCACGCTACGGAAACAAAACGACATACCCCAGACAGTGGCTTACATCGGATAGGTTTCCTGTTTCCCACGGTGAATGCTTACAGTGAGCCACAGCTCCTTCTCCATTTTCCGAAATCAGCCTTTGGGAAATGTTCTGTTCCAGATTCAGAAGGAAAGAGACCACTGGGAAGACAAAGGCGTAGGTGGGTGGACAATATTAAAATGGATCTTCGAGAGATAGGATGAGATAGATTGGATTGCTCTGGCTCAGGATAGGGACCAGTGGAGGACTCCTGTGAACACGGCAATGAACCTTCGGGTTGCATAGAATGCTGCGAAATTCCTGAGTAGCTGCAGAATTGGTGGCTCCTCAAGAAGGGCTCAGCTTCATTAGTGAGTAAGTCTGTTCCAGATTAAAAACGGATCTTTGATCCATCTGATGTCGTCTACGTGCAGTTCTACCACAACAAAAAGTGACTTTGTGACGCTCAGAATTGTGGCACCTAAGGGAACCGTGACTGAATTTGCCACAAAGAAACCCTGGACTGTTTTCAAACAATTAGGAAATTGTAGAGACAGGAATAAGCGTGTTTCCCCCCCCCCCCTCCCAAAGCAGTGTGTTGTGACAGGCATAAGGGATCACTTTACAAGCTTCACTCTTGTTAACTTTCGGGCCGTTGTATTCTTTGAGTGACATGTAATAAAAGTGAGGCTTGTAATTTAGAGAATATGGCTTTCTCCACCAGAGGCGCTATCGGCTACGTAGAAAAAGCACGCGGCCACCAACAGCGTGCTGACCCCTGCATTGTCAATCCGTTTCCTAACAAATGACAAAGTAGTTGAAAGTTTTTTTAGATGCCAAGGGATGTGTGATCATAAAAGAAAACACAAAAGACGAACAGGGTAACTGTCCACTTCGCGATGTTGCGGGGTTTGCTTTGTCACATTCTCTGAGATTGCACTTTTCGTCACGTAAGAAAGGAAACCTTCGAAGTGCAGAGATTACGAAATATATCACATAAAAATACAGTCGAGTCTTCCCACACAATGTACATGTTCGCTTAGTACGGTTTTCCCTTAAACAGCATATCTGTAGGTCTTCGTAATGTGGACGCAGTTTGCTTTCTGTGAGGTAGAAACTGGGTTTTTAAAGATTATTTAGATGCACTCGAAGGCTTCAAAGAGTTAATAACGCTTCTGAGGCATCATCAGCTTACAATTAATGGCCGTGCAGCGACCGTTGGCGCAGGTGCGATACTACCGCTGTCTGGTGGCAGCCGGTGAGCGTATAGGGTCACCAGTGTAAACATGCGCCGGCAGAACGACATTCCCCCAAACGAAAGAACGGGTCATTGGACGAGCGGCTCCGGTTGTGTGAATAAAAACAGATGCCTGAATAACTCGTTGACAAACAAGTCGATAATACTTGAGATGTAATCTCTGTCCTTCGTACCATTCAAGACTAACTCTGGATTTTTCCTGCACAGTGTATGATTCTCACAAGAAACCGCGATTACTTCCTTAAACAGGATCAATCGGTTTTT